AAAACCCAAACCATCAGGACAACTTGTTATCCTACAAGATTCAGGCAGTGAAAGAGACAAAACAATTTTGACAGGAATGCTGTGCAGAAAAATGACAGGGAACTGGGCTGCCTACCACCTCTTTGTCATGCTGCTTTCCCTTCTAAGAAGCTTCAAGTCACATTTCTCCTGGAAGGTGGAGGAGGTGTACCTTTTATGAGCCAAGCCTTCATTAAATTCTCAAAATGAACCTGCAAGGCGAGTTAAAACAGAAGTAAAGGACCAGACAGCTTAGTAAGTTACTCATGGAAGGTAACATGAAAGCACTAAAGTACATGTGTCCTGTTCTAACAACTATGCTCTGGTTACATTCTTAAGAATTCTCCTGTGGGGTGGTGGGCTTTCCAGATCCATTTCCTTCACTAGGTTCTGAGTTCCTTCAGGGCAACCACTATGTCCTCAGTGTACATATTAGGCATTCTAAAAATGTCTGCTTCTTTATTTCTATCCTTTTCCTTCTCTAGTTGTCACTAAAGGAGGTTGGAATATATGGTCTAATGAAATGCTTTGCATTGTCTAACTCAAGGATATGTTAGTGTTTATGCCCACTTGATTTTATTGAAAAAACACACACATGCATAACAAATAATATAAAGCACTATGTACATTAAGTGCTCAGATGGATAGTAGAGGAAAACAAATGAAGACAAATAGATATGATAATAAAAGAGGAGGGGGTTATTTTTATTTGTTTTTTGAGACATGGTCTTCTTTGTAGCTGATTGATCTCGAACTCATTATGTAGCACAGGCTGGCCTTGAACTCCCATTCCTCCTGCCACAGCCTCCTGAGTGCTAGGCTTCCAGGTGTGCCCCATCATGCCCAACACAGAGCAGGGATCAACAAAGAGCAGGAATCTTAATATGTCAAGGATGGATAGGATTTGGATCTTAATTGTTCATTCAAGTCACAACCTGCACCTATCCTATGGCAGGCCTGGTGCTGGGGAGTGGGGAGGGTTGAGGAATGAGGACAAGTAAGTAGTAGGCTAGGGAAGAGTATTTGGGAATAATAGAACCTGGTGCCTTCTGAGAGGAGTAAGAAACTGAGAATTCACCCAGAATCAGAGCTATCACATAGTAAAGCTATCATAGTCCTATTGAAAGATCAAGCAGTGGGAAGAAGTGATTTTTTCCTTCTTGTCCCAAATAATATTTTTAGGCAAGATGAATGAGGGATAGGTGCCAGTTGCCAACAACTAACATGTATCACATTTAGAGTCACCCTCAGTAATACTTGTGTCTTCTCAGGAAGAAAGTCATTATTTAGTGTCAGAGACACAGCTTTTCCTGGAGACATTCCAGTTTTGAGTTAATTAATCTCACTTCTTGAAGCTGTGAATTCTGCACATACCACATAGGCCCAGAGGGATCTGGAAAGAAAACATTTAGATTCAAAAAGATGACACTAAAAAGATGTGCATAACCAGCAGGCATGGCCCAATCCATTCTAAGGAAGACTTATACACAGTGCAAATATTAGCTTACAGGACCTATGACAGCCATTTTAAAAAGATTTACGATTTTTTTTTTTTTCTTTTTAGACAAGGTCTTGCTCAGTAGCTCAGGCTGGCCTTTCTCTTTATAACTGAGGTTGACCTTGATCTCATGATCCTCTTACTTCAACTTCCCAAGTATTGTGATTACAGGCATGTGTCACTACACTTGGAAGATGTTAATTTTTTGTGCCATTTAATTTTTCCGTTCCTCTTAATGGGTATACCCTGATTCTTTGAAGTCTCCAGGACCACTTTACATACCTAGCAACTATTTTTAATTATTGCATGTTTGTAAAGAACATCCAGCTTTTGGTCCAGAGTCCTTATAGTGAAGAATCCAGAAACCAGAGAGGTCTGGATTTCTTAGTTAGCGTCAGAGCTTATATTAATATCTTATCCTCATTAACAGTATTCCAGACACATCAAAGTTTATTTTATTTTATTTTTGAGAAGAGATCTTGCTGTGTTACTCAGTCTGGACTTGAAGCCCTGGGTTTATAAGATTCTCCTGCCTTGGCATTCTGCACATCAGAGCTTAAGTTGGATGACATGTTAGTACTTCCAGAAAATATCTCTGCACAGATTCACAGAGTAGGACCAGAGATGTGCACCTGCCTGACAAGCCAAGGTCTTGAGTTTGATTCTTAGGGGGGAAAAAAAAATCACAGAGCATCGGTAACTGGTTGCCTCTGAGAAGGGGAAATGAGTGCTGAGGAAACATGGTTAAAAGGGAAACCTAGTCACTAAAAACTTGTCTGAATCTTTTGAATTTTGTACAGTATGTGTTGTTACCTCATCAAAAAGAATTTATTTTTAAGAACTTTGTGGAACAAGTAGTGCATGATGGTGCATGCCTGTAATCCCAGCACTGGGGAGGCTAAAAACAGGAGGATAACTACAAGTCTGAGCTGCTCAGTGAGACCCTGTACAAAATACATGAAAAAAGAAAGATCAAAAAACAAAACTAAATGAAATGTGTTGTTTTGTTTTCCTTTTGTTTCATATTTATGTAAAACATTTTTTCCTGATTCAAGATACCCCATATGCAAGTTACAGGAAAAAGTTAAAGGCCATGGAAGTTGTGATGCCAGTTGGTTACAACTTTGTGGCTGGAACACAGGCTTCCTGAACCTCAAGCCAATGCTGTTCCAGAGTCCCAATTTCCTGCTAACTTTGACTGTGGCAAAAATCTGGCCGGATAAAATCCAGAGACAAACCAATTAGAAGCCAGTGATTTCATTCACTTTAGGGCAAGACAGTCATTAACAAACCTTGATGGAAAGGTGTCCATTACCAAAACTGTCCTTTCCCAAGAAAACAAAGTGCAAAGGCAGGAGTCCCATGTAATTCACCAGTAAGTGCTGTGAATGATGTTTGCTCCCTAGCCCCAAGGAACTGTTACCAGATAAAGGAGATGAAAATGCCTATGTCCAGAGGGCAGTGTAGCAATGGAAGGGCTAACCATTTGCTGGAGCTTTTCCAAACAGAGGATTATGCAAAAAGATGGTGATGGAGATTTAATATGTGAATCAATACAGGGAATTTGGCTAAAATTTTCCAAGCTAGTTTTTCTATTTGGACTTCAAGGGGGAAGTGGGAAAGACAGTCTGGCTATATACAGTTCAGGCTAGTTTTGAACTCACTCTGTGTAGCCCAGGCTCACCTTGAATTTGATCCTCCTATCTCAGCATCTGGAGTGCTGGGATTATAGATGTACACCACCATACCCATCCTTGGGTTTCAATTTTAAACTCCAGTTAATGTGAAAAGTGGGAAATTGGTATGTGTTAAGATTTAATAAAGATAATATAATCTTGTCATTTCCTATGCAGTGAATACTCATTGCTTTACTAGGTATTGGGGCCCTACTGTGTACTAGGCATTGTGCAGAATACTAGGGAGAGATTTTTACTTTTAGTTATTTATATATACCTAATTTTTGTGCACGTACGTCTTACTTTAATGGCTGTTAAACTGCTAAAGTCTACAGTTGTCCTTTTAATCTACAGATCTTCCAAATGACGTCCTTCAAGCACTCTAATAATGCAGAAGTTCATTGTATTTGAACTATATGTCAGAAACTATGCTAAGTGCTAGGTTTTTTTTTTTTTTTTGAGAGAGGGTCTCACTGTGTTATCCAGGCTGGGCTCAAGCTTGTATGCTTAAAGTATTCTGTTGTCCTCCAAAGTAGCTGGGACTACAGGTACAGGATACAGAATTCTTTTTACTCCTAGCATATTAGGCTCTACCACTGAGCTATATATTCCCCAGGAACTGGTAGTCTTTGATTCCAAAGTTCATGAGTTTTACATTAAACTACTACTCATGATGAGTGCAAAGGGGAGCTGTTTTCTTAGAGCTGGCACAGTGGCACACACCAGTAGCTGGCCTAATCTTAGCTGCTTTGCAGGCGGAGGCAAGAGGATGGCAAGTTTGAGCCCAGTCTGGGCAACAGAGCAACTTAGCAAAACCCTGTCTCCAAATAAAAAAGATAAAAGGTGCTGGCAGAGTAGCTCAGTGGAGTTCAGTCTCCTGTACCACAAAGCAAGGGGTTGGGGAAGGGCAGAGTAAAGAGCAGCAAGCTGGTATTCCTTAATCTTCCTTTCCTTGTGCCTTCTGTGAACTGTAGTATGAAGAGCATTCTAGAAGCACAACAGACCCAAGTTCCAGTCCTAGTTAGGTCATTTATCAGCTGTCAGACCTTGGGCAAATAATCCAGTTGATCTTTACTTTTCCATCTGAAAAATCACTGTTGGTATTACGGGTTTGTAGGGAGAACTAGTTGAGATGATGAATACTACTATAAAATACACGTTCTATAAAGAGCCACTGGTGTCTTCAAAAGAATTAGGAAGCACACGAAAGCCACAAAGTCATATGGTAGGAAGCCTTGTCTCAGTGCCTCTACTATTTGTACAGTTGTGGTATGAATCTTCTGTGAGGCTCACCCAGTCTGATCCTTATGTTTGAAGATACCGTATATGTTCACTAACCTCTAGTTGAATCAGTGAACAAATGAACTGAAGGCTAGGTCTGTCTCAGTGAATGAGAAGGCTATTCATAACGTAATATCGATACAGTCCCCTACTATTCCCTTCGCTCCTTCAAGTTTCAGTGAACTTAAAACTGTAAATGAACATAAGGTCACTTCATTCTAGGCCTTGCTGCATGGTTCTGAGGTTAGATTAAACGCTGGATAGAGAAGCTCTGGCAAAGAAACGTCCTCTATAAGAGTGTAAGCCTTAGTATCAAGGAACAGCCCTCGCCCACGCCATAGCGCCAAACCCGCCCTCTCTTCCTGGTTTTCCCCAGCAACCCGCCCTTCAGGTGTCATGTGACAGGGGTGCCTTCCAGGCTAAGCCTCTGATTGGCTGCTCTGCAGAACGCCTCTCGATTGGCTACAGGCCGCCGGGCCCCCGCCTCCCTCCTCCTTGCCGGGGCCCACGTGAGGGGGGAGAGTCACGCGATTTCCGGGAACCCGTCAGGAAGGACATAAACAAAACAAACCCGAGGCAGCATGGAGAGGGGCCGCGGCCCCTACAACGGAACAGAACCCAGCCCCTAAGCCGCCCCCAAACCTACAGGTAAGCGCTGCTACACACAGCCCGGGACTCATAACGGTTTGAACTAGGGGACCAGCCCAGCGGCGGGCAGAGGGGGGCCGATGCGCTAGGAGGCAGCAGTGCCTAGGCTCTGGGCTGGGCCGGCGCGGGGCGGGGGCCGGCACTGGGACTGAGGGTAAGGGCGCGCGGGGCGCGGGCCGTCGCCGGCTGTTCCCGGAGACAACACTCCCCTCCCCCACTCCCGGCCCGGGACGGTTACATAAAAGCGCGGGGCGGCGGCGGAAAAGACCCGCGGGAAGGCAACAGGCGAGGCCGGGCATGGGCATTGCCCGGCGTTCGCTCTGCCAGGGCTCCGGGCCTTTCTTCGCTGCTCTGGAGCTCCGGGCCGCTGTTGCCGGCAACCGGCCTGTCAGAGAAGGGAGCGGGTGGGAGGGGCCGGGGAGGGAGGGGAGTCGAGGCTGGCGGGGGAGGAGAGAGGGGGGCGTGTGAGGAAGGGCCGGTCTTTGGAGGTCTGGGCTGGCTTGGCTGGAGACGAAGCGCGAGCTAGGGCTAAAGGGAGCCGGGGCAAGAGAGTCTCTGAGATAGCCTTTTCCCCCTTCCGTCCCCGCCCTAGAGGCGACCCCGCGAGAGGGGCCTCCCTCTCGGGATTTGTTTATATGTCTTCTCAAAGCAGCTTGAAGCAGCTCGGAGGCGGGTCTCTCGGGATTGACTGGCAGGCTGTGGTGTCCAATCGGGAAGGCAGAGTGGGGCTGCCACACCAATGGGTGCAAGGAAGGCGGTGCCACGAATCGCCTCCTAATTAGGCTGTGCCGTGGGTGGGCCAGGTGGGGCGGCCATGTTAAATGGGAGGGGACCACTGGTGGTGGGTCCCTGAGACGGGGGGAGACGGGGTAAAGGGCGAGTGAGCCGGGCTGGGGGCGTTTCGGTTGTCGGAAGGCGAGTCCGTTCGGAACAGGAAGAGTAGCTCAGGGGAGCCTGACCCCAACCTACCGCTCTCTTCCCACGAGCAGAGGAGGCAGGGAAGTACTGAGGGCAGTCAAGCTTCCCCCTGGGGGTGGTTCCTGGGACTAGATGGAGCTCAGTCTTTGGATTCTCCCTCTTGCTTGGCCCTAGGCTTCCTGACGGACCCGGCTGCCAAAACCAGTAGTCTCTCTTTTAACCTGAAAAAGCAAACCATTCGGCTGAAACCAGTAGTCTCTCTTTTAACCTGAGAAAGCAAACCATTTGGCTGTTTTCTGAGAGGGCTTAAGACTGCTTTAAAGGAGGTACTTGGATAATTGTGGTCTGAGTTTCTGTACCAGGCCTTTGTGCAGACAGTGTTCTGCTAAACGAGGAGAAGAAAAGCCGAGAAAGTTGAGGGCTGGGCTGGGTTTCCATTTTTTTCATCCAGATGCCTTCTAAAGACCTAGCCCCATGCTTGTCCTAGTCTTAGTAATTTACCTATCTTGTTCACGTTTATTGTTAGCTCATAAGAATCAACTTCATGTGAAAAACTGCTGCTTGAAAAAATTATTTATGCTGGAAGGTTCTTTAGGACATTTTCTTGCAAATTTCTACCAGGTGAGAAAGAGGATCAAGATCTAGCTTGATTTGTTTTTAAAAGAAAAATTAAGATTTCTTTGTAAATCTTGCAGTCTGTGGTAAACTGGGTGTCAGTTGCTAGTATTTCTAAGTGTATTTTTTGTTTTCGTAAATCTAACATAGTTGAAATATGCCAAAGAGGAAAATGATGAGTACACAATTAGAAAATCACATATTTGTGTCATGATTATTTTCATCATATTGGCCTTGTTAAATTATTAATTTAAGTCAACTTTAGCATCAGCTTACAACCTGTAGCTACAGTGGTATTGTCAGAGGTACCAAGCTATTGATGCATCTTGAGCAAGCACTCAGAAGAAGTAGGAACACTTCAATGTACCATGAAAGTCCTATTCAGGACTTAAGAATTCATAGTATCTCCTTTGTCAACTGGAGAAAAATAATAATGGGTAAATAAGTTACCGGGTTTTATTGGTATTAGTGTTGTATAATTGACTCGACAGTTCTTTTAAGAATGATATATGTAAAAATATAGCTCCAGATTACTCTGGATTATTTGACAGATTTTTTTTTAGTTTAAATTTTATGTGTGTGTGTATTTGGTATGGTCTCACTACACAGCTCAGACTCCTAGTGATCCTCCTGTTTTCAGCCTCCCCAACTCTGGGATTACGTGTGTGCGCTACTACACCCAAAAGAAGTAGCTTCTTGGTAGCTGGCATGGCTTGTGATGTGGGGTATTGAACCCCTGTCCCTGTGCTTGCCTAGGCAGGCGCTTAGTCCACTAAGCTATCTCGCCGGCTCTGTCAGTATATTTTTTGATAGTAAATAGAAATACTTGCTTGTATTTCACTATCAATATTGTATTGTTTTCTAAACCCCATCACTTTACATTGTCTTAAGCAGTTATAAAAGAGTGTAGCTAAAATTAAAATGAAACAAAAACTATTGTTGATACCTAGAATACTTGTCAAGGCAGTTGTTAGTTATATTAGTCAATAGTCAGTTAGCGTTGTGCACTGTTGTCCTAATAGTATATGTAACAGTATCAGTTGTAGTTCTTCTGTATGGCTGGTACAGCAGCTTTGAGATTTATTTAGACAGGGTTTCTCTGTTTTGCCCAGACTGACTGGTGTTGGACTCCTGGGCTCAAGCAATCCTCCTGCACTGGAAATACAGGCATGTCCAATGATGCCTGATTCAGAGATTTTGGACATTTGAGTAGAGAAGAAGCCAGATACATCCAGAACAGATTTTGGATACTCTACTTCCATCTCATCTGTTCCAACAAGTGAAAACTTTTATAAAGTCAGTGGCCCAAGTAGTTTATTTGGTTGGACATGTCAGTATTCTAGGTTGCCAGTGCAAGGAGTAAAGGAATAACTAGTATGGATTTTGGTGGTGGTTAATTATAAGTGACAATGGAGATACAAGGAGTTTGTATATTCTATTATTTTAGCACAGTTTTTAAAGCTTAAAAGAAATTTACCTTTGTTCTGTGTGTAGTTCTGTTGTTTTGTTTTTATAGTGCTGGGGATTAAACCCACATGCTAGGCAAATGGTAGGTGCATAATTGGGCAAGTGCTCTAGCACTGTGCTATACCTGCAGCCCTTCTTAAAATTTTGAGACAGTCTCTCATGTTGCTCAGGCTGCCCTCAAATTTGCAATCTTCCTGCCTCAGCCCCCTGAATAGGTACAATTACAAGCATGTCCTGCTGTGTCTTGTTCATGTGGCACTGGAGATCGAACCCAGTACTTTGTGTATGTGAGGCCAAAGCTCTACCACTGAGCCACAACCCTGGCCCTTCACTGTTTGCATTTAAGGTTTAATTTTTAGCCAGGCATGGTGCTGCATACTTGTAATCCCAGCACTTGTGAGATTAAGGCGGGAGGATTTCTGTGAGTTGAGGCCAGCCTGAGCTACAAGTAAGACCCTGTCTCTAAAACAAAGAATAAGAAAAGGTTTAAGTTTCAGTTGGGATTGTCAGTTGTATGATTTTGAGATGAATCAGCCAAAGAATTGTTTTCATTTAGTTTGTAGTTGAATGTTTTGGGAAAGAATTCATTGACTATTTGACTTTATTCAGTAGCTCATTCCAGAATATATAAATTTATAGACTAGTCATATGTTTGTCAGATCATTAGTTCTGATTATTTTAAAACAGGTTGACAAACTCTTTTTCTGTAAAGAATCACATAGTAAATACTTAGGTTCTGTGGACCATATCGTCTGTCACCGCTACTCAGCTCTGCGGTTTATAGCATGATAATGGTTAGGACAGCTAAGCTAAACAGCCGGGTGTAGTAGCAGCACTTCTATAGTCGCAGCACCCAGGAGGCTGAGTTGTATCACTGCATGTTGGGGGCCAGCCTAGGTTTCATAGTAAGACCTTGTCTTGAAAAAACATAGAAATATGTTCAGGATATGTATTACAATAAAAACTTACTTACCTGAATAAGCTGTGCCTCTGTTCAGCCAGCAGTCATCGTTGGTCAACCCCTGTTGGCTCACTCACATTTTTTTTTTAATGTATTTATTAAGGGTCTACAGGGTCTCACTGGGTAGATCAGACTTGTTGTAATCCTCCTGTGTTCAGCTTCCCAAGCACTGGGATTACAGGCATACCCCATTACACCCAGTCTTAGTTCTGTTTCAGGGCACCCCGGGGGTGGGGCTAGCACAGCATGCTGGGGATCGAACCCTAGCACTTTAATCCGCTGAACTATCTGGGCGGCCCTGCATTTTGATTTTAAAGAGTTAACTTCAGACATGGTTCCTAAGAACCTTTATATTCAGGGCATGGTCCTGTTGAGGTTTAAAGATTTCTTTGTCCTATAGTTCAGTTCAGTTCTGTTCTTTTTGAGACAGGGTCTCACTATGTAGTTCTGTAGATAGTTCAGGTTGGCTTTGGAATCACAGTATAGCCTATGCTTTAGCTTCCAGCAAACTCCCTACCTCAGCCTTCTGAGTGCTGGGACTACAGGTAGGTACCACCATGCCTAGCTAGCATGTCATTTCTAACAAAACTTTATCACTATTTCAAGAAAGGCTGTTCTCAGTGAACAGGCAACACCTATAGTTCTCACATTTAGATATAAATGGCATTGAAACCACATTGATTGTGTCATTACTTGACATGTTTGTAGAATTATCCAAACATTAGGGCAGATGTTTTTTGAAAGACTCAAAAAGATACAGGTTGCATTTCCTTTTCTTTGCAAAATGTCAAATGATGTTAAGTATCCAAGGAAGCAAAGATGCCATAATCTTACTTTTTTCATTGATAGCTTTTGGTTTGTTTTTATGTAGTATTTCTTTATTTTTATTTACTCAAACTGGACTTTATGAAAATAAAAGTTTCAGTATAATATATTGGGGGTTTTTTGTTTGTTTTTAAAAGCCTCACTTTGAGTTCAGGATGGCTTCAGACTTACTGTATCAAGCCCAGGCTGACCTCAAACTCGAGGCAATCCTCTT